TATAAAGTCAATAGTATAACACTTATACATGTCGTTAGTCGTTCTCTTAGGATTAACAGTTATGAAAATAAAGATTTCCCCACTAAGACACATAGTCTTAGTATACTCAACAACATAGCTCAAATGGCTTAGGAAATTAACCTAACTCATATGGCTCTAGAAACAACGTGACACCAATAGGGAGACCCTAAAATGTTGGATCCTAACAATGTGTCTAGGAATCCTAGTCCTAAACTTCCCGTTATAATATTGTTGAATATTTGAGATTTTATTGTTTAAGAATAATCTTTGTTTGAAGTCTTTTAGTGTTGAGATACGCAAGACTTAATGGATTTCCAAATTTCTATTGTCTGTTATGACGAAATTTGGGCAGCATAACGATTGCTTTTATAACATTTTCCAGATTTCAACCAAAGTGAAACCAACAATTCCATAATATTTATGGTTCACACGATTAATACAATGCAATGTTTCGCAAATAACGACTCTTAAGTCGTGAAGTCGATCATGTTATTTATTACAATAAAATACAAAACTTAGTAAATTGAGTTATAGTTTTATAATTAATATAAAATTATAGTAATACATTTTTCATTCGTTGTGACACAACCTTATATATTAAAAGTTACTTTGGTATATATATATATATATATATATATATATATATATATATATATATATATATATATATATATATAATTCTAACTTGGAGTATGTGAGTATAAATTACTATTCATTTGATTTTTACTTTTATAAGAACCAAAACTACCAAATTCAAATTATATTATTATTTTTAAAGTATTTGATACAAAATGCAAATACCTCTTATTTGGAAATAATAATTTTGAATCTGCTTATATCAAACTTTTATATTTATATTTTTTCCCCTCAACTAATTTTGAATTAACTATTCTCATTCCTAATTATTATAAAGTTATATTATTAGTTATATTATTGGTATTTTGTAAGTTGTGGTGCCGGTCCCTTATTATATTTTAAAGTAACATTTTATGTCTTATATAATTCTTTTTTATAGTTTTCATTTTTATTAATATTAATTTTCATTAATTATTTTTTTATTAATCATTGTTTGTAGTATTGTACCAAATATGATATATTTTTAAATTTTATTTTTGTCCGCATCTTTCATACATAATTATTAAGATATAAACTTTATTTTTATACTTTTATGGTCTACTTTGCAAATGGTTACCTTCGGACCTTTAATTGTTTCAGCACCCTACTTATGCTCTTATTTTTTGAAGATGATAAAAGATTAACAAACATTGAATGTAATTACAACTGTTCTGTTGCTTGATTTTATATGATCAAAATATGTTGGCTCAAGATCATCACCTTAAAACTGCATAAATTAGCATCACTATTGTAGAAAATAACATTGTGGTTGGCAATTTTGGGCTATGGTTGAAAATAATTATGTTTAAAGTTGTCTCAAAATTTCTCCTACAAACATTATCCATGTCAAGCTGCGTTTTTCAATACACTGGGCTTCCGCAGCATCGCGCGGACGGTCCAAACCCTAGTTTTAACTAATAATCACATAATTTCATAAACTTATTCTTTCCAAATTTATGGCAATGTACCTTCATTTTATAATCGAATAATATTTTTGGTCATTTGTATATCGTTTCATACTTCCAGTCGATACTTTAACTTATACATATAAAATCGTCATTGTTATGATTTATAATACCAATCTGTATTATTATAACAGTTTACATATAATCTTGTGATTTTTATTAATATTAATTAATATATTACAACAAGGTGTATTTATATCCTTTATAGCATCCTACTTTAACTTATGTGATTTATACAATTAAATTACTAATTCATAAGCTTTCGACCAAATATAAAATACGATGCTATTTTAACGTATAAAAATATGTAAATCGTCAAAACTTAATAGACACGCATATATTCTCCCCAAATATTAGCACTGTAAAAGAGGGACCGTAGAAACTCACTTTCGTAGCGTGATCTCGATCCCGGTTCGCTTTTTGGTGAAGCTTCACGTGAGAAACCGCTACGTAACCATTCTTGGACTTTCAAATGTTTCCGGGTCTATTTGGTAATGTTTTAAACTAAGAGGACTTGTTTTTAAATATTTTATATATAAAAGAAAAAGGCTATTTTGTAATTTATTTTACTCAAGGGACTAAATCTGTAATAACTTATATCCAAAAGGGGTCGTTTATAAAGAGTTTAAATCACTTGGGGCTTGCATTGAAAAGGTTTATGTTAAAAGACCAGTTTTAATTTAAAGGCCATAAGTGCAGGGGCTTGTTTTGTCAAAACCACCAGATGTACAAAAAGGGATACGACGTCTTCTTCGTCTGATCCATTTGGGGCAGGGAACGAACGCATCTCCAGGGAAGTACAAAGGCAAACATCAAAGCGTTCCGGTGGTGGTTGAGCAGTCATGAGGAAATGGGGAATCGATCTCTGGGTCGTATCTGATCGAAGAGGAAGGAATCACGAACGGAAGCAACGGGGAGGGGGTGGCCACTGATCGATCCAACAGAAACAACACTAACCAAAATGGGGAAATCGGGAACGTCTTAACCAAATCGATGAAGGAGAAGGGTGAAGAATGAAAGCAGAAGAGCTGCTATCATTGAATTGGTAGGCTAGGGCTGCTCCGCCGGTTCTTGTTTGTCACATTTGTCCGACATAATGCGCAAAAAGAGAAGGACCAAGACGGAAGGAGGTGTCTAGTTGATGAGGTTCGACAGGTAAAAGGGAAGAGGAGATGAGCTGTGATGGCGCATGGAACGGAGGCAACAGCCTCCTCCCCTTGGGTTTTGTTTTTCTGGTGAGTCAAGAAAAGAAGAGGGAGAACGAAATCGGGGAAAGTAGCAGCAATGGTCTTCGTGTGGTGTTTGTTTGCTTCGATCGGCTGAAAGCGAGGAGTAAGGATGGGGCTGTTCTCCTTCTTGGTCTTGCCGGAAATAACTTCATCTTCGATGGAACACCTTCGCAACAAAACGGAGAAGAATAGGAAGGTGAGAGCAGTGATTCAAAAGGGTGTTTGGCATCTCCGATCGTCTGGGCAACAACAGGAAGAACAAGAGAGGCATGTTGCACTCTTGACTGTCAGAAGTTCACACCTCCGGATGGAGATTTTCTTGATCGACATTGAAGAAGAAGAAGGAATCGAATGTAAAGAGGGAGAGTGATAAACGAGAGATTGGGGTAGTGAGAAAAACAATACTTCTTTCCTTAGAAGCTAAATTGTATTATTGAAGTCTTTGTTTGCAATAGGGGTGGTTGAAATCGTCGGTAAGAGAAGTAGCTTCTCTCACAAGCTTGATAATAATAATAACTAGTGTTACGCCCGTTCCGTGGACGGTAGACCGGTGTAATAAAAAATATTTATTTTACTTTCTTCTATATCATCATTCTATAATTTGTTCCAATATGATAAGAGTTATTTCCCAAGAACTAGTAACCGTAAAATATAGATTCAGGCTCACTATCTATATGTATGCTCACTATCTATATGTATCTATTGACGGTGGGAGGTACTTCCATGGAATAAGTAATACTCTTTTTTAGATAACCAAATTCAATCCAAGATAATATTAAATGTTTCAGTTATAACATTGTACTATGAAATTCATTTATTTTTGTACTTATATCGTTCATTTGTTTCAATTATACACACGCATACAAACTTACTTTTTGTTTATTATACCAACATACATTCATTGTAGTTATTTGTGGTAGTTAACCTAATTGTAAATTCAAGTATAGTCAAAGGGGTAAAATTGTCATGCAAGGGAATAATACATGTTCGGTCTGTTCACCGATTAATGAATAACCATGAACTGTTTGTATATATAATTGATAATGCATTACACGGTGACAAAATAAACAATAATTACTTAAAATGTGGATGTAAAAACAATGAACCGTTTTTACTTTATTTTGTAGTATTATATTTTCATCTGTTCCTATTATAACATTTTAGTATGACAAATCTACTTAATGTCATATAATTAAGATAAAGTTGTTTATTTTTATAGTAGGCAATGCATAGGGAGAAATATACATTTAGTGATGTGTCAGTTATATCATCCTACTTTCAAGCATACAATTATTTTTTTTCGAGAAAACACAATCAAACGAAACAATTTTTATTTTTTTATTATTGTATTTTTTGCATCTAGACACTACTGTTTAAAACAATTTTTAACACCTTTAACATTGACATATTTTGACAAAAAAACAATAAAAGTACAATAATATAATAAAATATAATTAATAATATAATAACCGATAAAAAATAAAAGAAAATGTCATTTTCGATAAAAATGTGGAATATAATGTTAAAGAATTGAAGAGAACATTAGGCCAATAATAAATAAATATAGGAAACTACATATTTCGATGTATTACGTGGTCTATCCAATTTGTTTATTTGGACTATATTTGTGTTACTTCTTTTATCTTAAAAAATATCTATTTTTACCTTATATAATAGTAATAAGAAAACGGAATAAAATATTTAAAATGTTTTTTTTTTCCACATTCCTTCTAATCATCCCTATCATCATCTGATTCTCATTCATACCAACAAATATAGTCATCTTCCTTATGCAAACAAACAACATAATTTTTATATTAGATTGCTAAAATACATACCAAAGTATAAGGCAATTCCTAGATTAAATCATCTCCAAAAGTTGTTTATATAAATCAACAAACAAAAACATTAGTATGAAAATGTTATATAATGGATCAATTATTTTTTATATAATAAGATAACATAAAGGTTCAAGTTCAAATCAATTTCACTGATTTTTTTTGTCATACAACCTTAAGTGAGATGTCAGAAATGCAAGAAGTATCAACATACATTTAATAATGGGCAAAATAAAAGAAATAACAACAAACTGCAACCGCTATTTCTTGCATTTAAACCAATTTTATTATTACACACACAACATGCACATACAAAGCATACACACACAACCGATAAACCAAACACATACACAAAGCATACATATTAGATTTTTTTTAATACCTTAATAAGACAAACTTGGAAATAAAATGTTATAATTGGGATTTCATTATTGTATCTAACTAAGGGATTTCATTACAGGGATTATTTAAGTCATAAATTGCCATACCTTATAGAACTTTGCATAAAGATAAAATTTTTCCCAACCAACAACACTAAGGCCAATGGACCGATTGGATTGCAAAGACTGTCTAAAGAGAGTTGTACAGACACTGTCACGAAGGTTATTGAACATAAGCCTAATCCCCAATGTTGCTTCTGAATTACCAACTGTTCAGATTACTACAAGAAAAGTACACATTATACCTAAAATACCCTCAATAAGACACATATAAAAAATAACATATCGTGTGTGCCTGCATTTCAGCAAGAAGATGCCTTTTAGATGCATTAAAATTTTCAACAATTTCCAACCTAGTTTTCAGATTGTTGTATTTGATAACCTTCAATAGAAAATAAATGTCATTTGGGAAAACAAACCAGTAGAATAAATGACAAAAGGATGATGGAAGATTGAAAACTTGTATTGTATGTTGTCATTATTGTTTTTTTATTTTATTGTTTTTTTTTCATAAAGTTCAATAATGCAACCTAGTTCAGGTCTAGTCACGATAAACAGAGATCAGTTTCGATATATCATATATGTAATTAATGATGTTGTAATAGTGTAAAGATACCAGTTTTGAAATTATAGCTTCTCAACCTCATCACCAATTAGATCAACTGTTTCAGCTTCACCAAGCAAAGTATCCTTGCCCTCTGTGCACCATATCCCATATGTACCCTGTATCAATAATCTTGAACCAAATTATTATCCTGTACAAAAAATATATCTAAAAATTTCAAATTTGACATCACTAACCTCTTGTAACAGATGGCTTTGACATTGATGTTTGTTTCTGCAATACACTCATCATATTGTACCTCTAGTTATCTTGGCCAATCTTCTAACCATGGTTATCCCATTTACAAACCTGCATATCTGGAAAAAAAATAGAAGACTAAAAAATTGGAAGGAAACAAAAAAGAAAAATGATTATATGTTGAACTTCACAGTAACACTTTTCATTTAGTTTTGCAAAATAATTCATCAACCACAAAAATTACAAAATGTATTGGACCATTTGGCAAAATTTGTTCAACTCACATATGATTTTGACTTATTTAACTTATTTTATCTAGTTTACACTACCTATTTACTATCTATTAATTTTTAACAGATAACATTATGCCTATTAGTTCACAAAATCTTTATGCAACCACTTTTGAGTATGTTTTTTACACCTTCTAATAGACATGAGAAAGCATCATTACTTTGTACATCATTAAATAGAGATAGAAGGAAGAGTTATTTGATATTTATGAAATCTTAGGTATTCATATGAAAGTGGAGGAACAGACTACATAAGAAAAGTTATACATTGATAACATAGAGAACAAATATCAAACAAACTTACCTCCTCTAGGGTCCATGAGTCCATCCTCCTTACTCAACATCTTATCACATCTTAGGTGCCTTTTTTTGTAGATGATTCCATCAGATGGCCAATATTAACATCATCATAAAATAAATTATTCTAAAATCAATATATAATAACAACATAATTAAATAAAATTGGCATACCATTATACCCTCGACAATTTGGGAAATCCATAGACAAAAATTGCAATTTATTTTGGAAATATTGTCACTGCAATGGAGTTCTTTGAATCATGTTGCATGTGAAATCAGAAAAGAAGAGAAAATGGAGATTGTGGAGAAAGTAAGGGGGAAAGGGAATAACACTTATAAGCTTTGTTGAGATTTCTTTGCCAAAAAATAACATTGCCCCTGCTTCCTTTCTCAGCCTCGTGCTCTCCTAAAGGCACCAAGAATGCAAACGGTTAACCACCCAAAAAAATGGACATATCAAAACACAATGTATTCCTAACATCTTCTATAATCGGAATAAAAAGGTGGAATGGGTCCAAAGGAGATAATGGCAGAGGTCTTCTAAGCAACAGGGGAACATCACATAATCTTCATGCTGGAATAAAGAATTGCTCATATGAGGCTTTAAATTGATGTTACCTGAATAAATTTCTTGAGTTCTCCCGATTGTTGGACCTATATTACATGGCTGATTTTTCATTTTCAAATAAATATTTAGCTTCATCGGTGTGCAGGTGTACGATTATATAGGTGAATCGAAGTAAAATCTAGAAGGACGATTATCAAGAAAGAAATTAGTTTCACAAGAGGAGATAAAAAGATGGTTATGTAGCTTACTTTGTATTTGATTTTGGGGATGCCAACCCACAATCACCATGAAGATCAGCAGGGCAAGTAGGTGGAGCTTCACAAATCTATAAGCAATCAAATTGATGTAAATAACAGTAAAATCGAATGAAAGGATAGTAGAGAAAAAACACGTAAACCCAATGTAAGTGAACAGAAAATAAAGAATGCAATCAGCTCATACCTACCTTTGATATCCGTTTCCGATCCCTTGTACATCTTCAAAAGCGATTAAAACATCAAAAAAGATCTTCAGTTCGACGCATCTCTTTCTTGTGTGATTGCGTTAAAATCGAGAGAGCACCCTGCATTTTGGGAAGATGAAGAGATACCTGCAAGCTGCAACAATACATCAAATGGAATAAGACAAAACTAACCGGGATCGAGAGGGTGGGAGGGCTTTCTGAGGGTATGAGTGGGATTTTCTCTCATATTTTTTTGTGGTTTCCTTAGCCTAAAACCCAAACCCAAGGAAAGGTGGAAAACTTCCTCTCACCATTTTTTTATTTTTTTTGAAAAATATATTTCCTATAAATATTATACTCATTTTGTAGGGATTTAAAAACAATGAGTTTTGATATATTTTTTTATAATTTTTAATAGGTATATAATTTAATAAATATTAAAAAAAGATAAAAAGAAAACGTTGGCAAATAGGAATAGGAGTGAGAGTGAGGGAATGGGCTCACTCTTTTCCTCACCCATACCATCCAGCCTTATACTCTTGACCAACACAACCTCCACACGCAATCACGTGGGAGGGAAAGAAACTGAGAACAGAGATCGTGGGAGTTCGGAAGAAAGCACAGAAGCGATGGGAAAGGAGGGTACGTAATCGATCTAGGATTTAAAGAATGTGTTTGAAGAACGTGGAGAAGGAGGCGTCTGTGATGTATGGAGTTCGACATCGAGCAGTAGAACCGCATAATAACTGTAAATAAGGAGTTTGAGAGGCTGTGATCAAAAAGTTGGTGGAGTTTGAACGGCTGAGATTTTGACGACGGTTTTTCCACTTACCGTCGTCAATAGTATTAATAATAATAATATTTTTTTGACTTGTAAGGATATGTTTGGGATATTAGTCAAATGCTATTTATTTATTTGTTTGTTTATTTATTTATTTATTGTGATGTAAACCTCGTTCCTCGATTTTCGAGCCATCAAATCGTTTCGTGAAATTTTTCTGAAAATGTCTGCTTGTAGTCTCGGTCGTGGTGATTTCAAAAAGGCAAACGGAATTCAATTTCGATATACCAAACTCCGTGAATTTATGTTTAAAGTTCCGCGATCAATAGAGTCGGATTCGACAGATTTTACGAATCTGATTTTGGTTAAGATTAAAAATGTTATAAAAATACAATAAAATAATATATCATAACCTGAATTCAAAAACATGTTCAAAAATAGTTTACGAGACTCGTGTCTATTCCAAACGAAGCAGTGCATGGTTTGTTTTAGGAAAATCAGATAAATACTGATTTTTATAACTTTAAAGATGTGTAACTTTCTCATACAACCTCTGTTTTGGACGTTCTTTATATGCAAGAAGTCAAGAGAACATAATCTATTCAACTATCTTATCCATAACTCTCAGATATATCTGATGCAAAAAAAAAAAAAATTAACGCCATAAATAAATTAAATTTTTGGTGATTTTCGATTCGATCTACAACGATAGATGGTTTGAGCAGTTTGAGATGTTTTAAAAGAAATTATAAATATAATATATTTAATATACATTATAAACATAAAATTACACACAAATAGTCATTAATAGCTAGCGGTTCGCGGTGGTTTGACCGCCAAACTCTGACCAATTTTTACCAATTGTTACACAAACTGAGTAAGACTCGGAGTCCCAGTACAGATGCCGAGATAGCGGAAATGAGTCGGGTTATATATGCTTCCGCCGTTGGATCGATCATGTATGCTATGATACGTACTCGCCCAGAGGTGCCTTTTGCTTTGAGCATGGTTAGTCGATATTAGGGAAACCCGGGTAAGGCTCACTGGATAGCGGTTAAGAACATTTTTAAGTATCTGCGAAGGACTAAGGATTGGGTCCTTATGTTTGGCGGCAGAGATGACTTAAGAGTTACAGGGTATAGTGACGCCAGCTTTCAGACCGACAAAGACAACTTCCGTTCTCAGTTAGGCTGGGTGTTCACCCTTAATAGAGGAGCTGCGACTTGGAAAAGTTCAAAGCAAAAGACGGTGGCTGATTCTACCCGTGAATCAGAGTACATTGCAGCAAGCGAAGCATCGAAAGAGGCTATATGGTTGAAAAACTTCATCCGAGATATTGGAGTAGTGCTAGCCATAAGGGAGCCTATGGAGATTTTCTGCGATAATGAAGGAGCGGTTGCCTTAACCAAGGGACCGATAGATCATGGAAGATCTAGACATATTGACAAAAAATACCATTTCATCAGACATCAGGTAGAAGGAGGACTCCTCGTCGTTAAGAGGGTATCTTCAGAAGAGAATCCTGCAAATCCTCTCACAAAGGGTCTGAGTATGGTTAAGCACATTCAGCATGCGAGGAGCATTGGTCTGAATGATGATATTAGTTTTAGTGATTAGATATATACTTAGAAACTTGTAACAAATAAATGTAATTGACATTTGATGATTAAATAAATGGAGATTTTTTTAAGCATTGTTTACTATCTTTTGTCAATTGTTTATCATTGTGTTTCACTTTGCATGTTTTACTTCATAAATAATTGGATTATTCAAATTATCCACAGTCGATCATACTTTGGAAGTAAGTAGTGAATTAAGACTGTCATGAATTGGCTTGTAGATTGTCTAAGTGTTTAGACATAACAATGGTTTGCTGCAACGTTCATGAGTATTTTGGAAATTAGGATTTAAGTATTGGATTAAACCCACTCTCATAAAATTACTTCATGGAATTTATCACGGGTAATTATGAGACGATAATATCGTATAATCTTTAAACCGAGATATATGAGTTGTTGTTTACGAGTTGGTTGTGCATTGATAATGCGTAAACGCATCAGTAACTTGATGTTATAAAATGTATTGTTGTGTACGATTTGATGAGTAAATAGTACAAGCATATATGTCAAAGTTTATCTGTTCCTTTTGCCCTAAGGGGAAAAAGCGATATCTTGGGCCCCTTGATGATTTGGTGTTGACTTATGTGCCAGGCCCGGTCGGGACTAAATTGATGTGTTCAATTAAGTTCTTTGTCATTACAAATCAGAAATCGGGAAACAAACTGTTGGACAATGAGAATGGTTCTATTCTATGTCATTTGTCTACATGATATCTTGTAGAACGGAGGATTATATGGTCCCTTATCTTAGGATACGTAAGTGATTGGGTCAGAGTTCGACAGCGGCTTTTGAGAGCTACAATGTGCTGGTCAATTTTGAACTTGTACTTGCAATATTAGTTATTAGACTTATCAAAGTGGGAGATTGTTGGATTAGGTGTCTAAGCCCATAACTATAATTGGTATATACTTGAATTGATGGTAGCATAGTCCTTTTAGGTTGCCTTCACTCTAGCAACTTGATAGGATGACTTTTGGAGAGACATGTTGAATTTCTTATTTGGAATAATAAATTGGTGCATAAAATGATTTATTAATATGTTATGAAAAGAATATATTAATTAGAAATCATATTATTAATTAGTATTTAATCAAAAATGAATTTGGAATTAATTTTGGGATTAAAGGAAGTGATTAAAAGTGTAGGGAATGTTTTGTAGTTATTTGATAGTTGTGGCTTTGGGATCTTGGATCAACCTTATTGGGGAGGGCCGAAAATCCTTAGAATATTCTAGAGGATTTCGTCCAAGCCTTGAGGAAGGGAGTCCATGGGCTGATTAGGCCCCAAGGTAATGAATTAGGGTTTCCACCTCAAAACCCTAGCTTTGGATCTAAGCCACCTCATCTATAAATAGAGCCCCAACCTTCATGATTTCGTCCCATGCTATCAAAACCCTAGTTGAGCTGAAATATTGTGCCTCCTCCTCCTCTCTTCTCTCATCCTATTGCATAGAGTGTTTGTAAGCCGTTAAAGGTGTCACATTTGAGGCACTTACTCTCAAGAGTTCAAGATCTTCAAGATTTCTATGTTATTACTACATAACAAATCAAGGTATGTATCTAAACCCTATTTTGTTTTGATTTTGAAATTAGTACATGCCTCCTAGGGTTTCTAGATTTGTGTTCAATGCTTGTATGTCTAATAGAGAAAACATAGATCTAAAAATTAGGGTTGCATGTACACATAGGATTATTTGCTATGTATAAAACCCATCATTACGATGGAACTACGGATCCCAAAGAAAATGTGGCACAATACATGGAAAGAATGGAGATCATCCCCATTCCCACACATTTGAAGGAAGCTTGCCTATGCAAGGGTTTCGGTTCAACCCTCATAGGATCAACCCTAAAATGGCTTCTTAACGTTCCTCCTTACTCTATTACTGTATTTGATCACTTAGTTAATCTTTTTAACAATCAACTTTTTTATAGCAACACGTTCGAAAAGATCACCAGTGATCTTTATCGGGTAGTTCAGGATCCTAAGGAATCCCTTAGGGATTTTGTGATCAGGTTTGGTAGGGAAGCCTTGAGTATCCACAACATCGATATGGAAACTACTGTAGAAGCCTTTAAAATGGGCTTAAAGAAGGACTTTCCCTTCTAAGAAGACCTTGTAATGACTCCATGCAAAAGAATGGACGAAGTGAGAAATAGAGCACTAAGGTTCATAAGGCTCGAAGAAGACAAGGAGATCCAAAAAAAGAGCAACCCACCAAACTCATATGATAACCCCAATAGGAAGGCCGATTCCTCAGTCTAAAGATCCTATAAATCCAAACCTTATTCCAAACCTGGTCATCATAGGGTTAATGCCCTTGAAGATAAAGGGGAGGAAGAAGAATTTCCTAAGATCACTGAATATTGCTTTTCTGTGGATGTTTCAGTTTAATATTTGCTATGCAGGAACTTGGCGACAAATCGAGATGGCCAAGAAAGGGAGAAAAGCCACCACCTGGAAAGATAAAACCAAATGGTGTGAATACCATGAGGACTTTGGTCACATTATGGAAGATTGCATAGCCCTCAAGAAGGAGACCAGTTACCTACTCAGCAAGGGATATCTCAAAAAGATCCTGGGAAGGAAAAAGGAAAGATCCAAAGAAAAGGATCAGGATCCTCATAAGATCCTAAAGAAACTAGGATCCCCTCCTATAGACGCCAAGGTAATCAATGTTATATCTGGAGGATCTGGCATTTGTGGTAACTCTTATTCTGCAGCAAAAAGGCATGCCAAAGTGTCGAAGATGGGGAAAGAAGAAAGGACTCAGAAGAATACGTCAATCACAAACGAGAATGAAACCACCTTCGGCGAAACAAATAAGGCAAACGTCTAGGATCCTTACCATGATGGACTGGTGATCACTCTT